AATGCAGAATCCTGAGCCCCACCCCAGATCTATGGATTCAGAATATGCATTTTAGCGAGATGCCCTGGTGACTCCTGTTCAAGAGTCACTGTTCTAGAATATTCTCTGCAAGATGAATATGTCAGTGAATGAGCATTCGGGGGAGGTAGCCAGGCAGGGAAGAGGGCAGGAATTCTCTTGGTTAGAGCCTCAAATACACGCAACCTCCCCAGACTCTCCTCCACACCTCAAAGCAGGTCCCGCTCTGCACAGACGTCCTGTCCATAGCCCCTCCCTTCCTGGCTGGCTGGGTGCTAATTTTAACCCGTTCTTGCTGCCCCACTGTGCAGATATGAGGAGGGAGAAGATGTGTATGGGGGTGATGGGAGGGGAAAGGCCTATGATCTGATTTACTGTGGCCTCGTTCCTCCTTAACTGTGGTTTGCAGTCACCACCGTCCGGTGTGCTGGACACTTTACTACATGTTTCCACTCCTTACAACAACCCCAAGAAGTAGGACTTGCTGACCCCATTTTCCAGAGGAGGAAACTGAGACCAGTGAGGTTTGGGGCTTGCCTGGGGTCGCCCAGCCAATAAAGTCTGAGCTTCCACTCCCCAACTCGGCACCCCCCAACCCTCAATAGTCACAGCAGCCACTGTGAAAGAGGATGCCCAGTGGGCGGCGGAGCAGGTGGTTTTGGGTGATTATTCAAAAAAGGAAAAACTGCCAACCTGAAAGAGGAGGCTGGGCCTGTTCCATTTAACAAGAGATGGGAGTTGGCTGGGCTGAGGTCGCCTCTTAAACAGGCAGGCATCTCAGGGCAGACTTCGCAGGTCCTCACCAAACCTGCTGCTGCATAAGGTTTAAACATTAAACTATAAGGTGGCCTTAATTTAAAAGCAGACTGTTTTATAAGGCACATGGTGCCGTCTAGACTTGGGAACGTTTATGGAAGTAGCTGTACTGCGTGTCAGACTCAGACACCTGAGTGCCCTGCTCTGCTCATGTTCTGTGACTTGTGCGGGAACAAATTGGATTTTTGGGGGGAAGGGTATGTGATTTCAGACATTTGGTAATCTCTTCCTGCTGGGCCCTTTCCCTACCTCTGTTTTTCTTTGTAGATGTGAGAATTGAGGCACAGTGGAGAGGCGGTTTCCTCCTTAGTGCCAGGCATGCCTGTACGGTTGTTTGGTAGCCTCTGGCCAGGAGGGTGATTATGTAATTGCTGGTGTAACTTTTGCTCGTGCCTGTACCTTCCTCACCCTGCCTCCCACCTTGAGACCTGGGGCAGAACCGTGTCAGTTTCCTCTTGTATAGCCTGGTACATAGTAGGTGTGCAAACAGAATAAGTGAATAAGCAGTCAAAACCCATGAAAGTTGAAGTTGTTATCTTGAGGCCGACCTTTCCTCTGATTCTAAGTAGGAGCATTTTATCCCCCTGTTTAGCTGAAGGGGCAACCATAAGAAGGAGATGGGGAAAGATGGTCATGGGGTTGCTTTTCGGGTTAAGGTATTTATCCTCCTGCCTGGTTTCGGACTCAGGGGCCATGATAATAATGTTGGGCCCAGCTGTTCTGAGTGTCCTGATATTTCAGATGAGGTTATAATGTAAAGACCCAGGATGGAGATTCTCTTGTCCCTTACGTACTTTGGGAATGTCTACTCACTGTCCGTTGAGGAACTAGGAGGAATTCAAATTTTCTCCGAGGAGGAAAGGAAAAAAGGAAGGTTTGAGTTATGGGACACTTACTCTGGGTTAAAATTGGCTGACATTTATTGAGCCCCAGCCCAGGCATACTCTTAAACACCTGACATCTAGTTAGGCATGAAATATTATTTCTCTACTTGATGAATGAGGAACCTGCCCAAGGTCACATGGCTAGAGAGTAGTTTTAGCCAGGACTCAAAGCCAGGTTCCTAACCGTTATGCAATAGTATCTGTGCACTGGCTTAGTTTTTCCTTTAAATTCACGAAGCAGGCACTCTTACAGGAGCTGCGCTTACAGATTTCCTTCCTGTTTCTTAACATCCCTTTAAAAATGTGACAGCCTTTCCTAGCTCTCCGTTCCTATGAAAACAGGATGACTATGCAGCAAACAAATGAAGAAGAAAGGTAATTTTAGTTGGTATGAAATGCCCCAAAGAAGACAAAATGGGAGGGGTTTAGAGAGAGGGAGGTGGCCATGAGGGTGGGCTTCTCAATTGATTAGGTCTCCCTAGCGGGGTGACGTGAAGCTGAAGTTTGAACGATGAGAAGAATGCAAAGATCTGTGTTGTAAAACCACTGAGTATTGAGTCTGTACCATATTTTTAGTGGTTAATGAATGCTGGTTATTAATGTTGTTGTTGTTGTTGTTGTTTTCTTGGTTTGCCGTTACCTGGCTGTCTGCCCTCGGATGAGCCATCCACTGCTCTGGGAGTGGAACCAAATGTCTTCTCTCTACCCTTGGCAGGTACACAGTGCGAAGTGATTTCTAGCATTTGTCTCCTGACTCCCCACCACCACTCTGAAACAGGGGAGCAGGATGAGCCCTCATTTACATTTTCAGTGGAAGATTCATTGTAGGGAGAGGGAAGCTTTTGTGGAGGGACAGCCACCATGGTTATTAACATTTAAGGAACCCCTTTAGTTTCCTCAGTGCTGAGTGGGGTTTTATGAGAATGTGGACACTTTCCTTTTCATACCCGGCCGGAAGCGCCCCCCTGCCGATTGCGCTGTGGGACCATCCGCCTCGCCTAGACTGTTAGGGGAGAATTGATAAGTGGGCTTATTTTCTTACCCCTTAGAATGTTGCTACCCTCCCTGACCCTGGATGGTGAAAGAATTTATTCCTATTGTAATTTGACAATAGGGCCTCCTTGAGGCCAAGTTCAGCTTGCTGCATAATGAAAGGGGTGGTTTCTACCCTTGGCCCATCTTTAGCTTATGGAGGAATGTAGGAGTTGGTCCAACACCCACCCACATCCTCCACGGCCTGTGTGTGCGCACTGTCTGCTTCCTCCCAGAACAAGCTCCAGGGATTGTAGGACTTACTCGGATAAAATAAAGCCTTCTAGTCATATCTTTACATTTGACGCAAGCAAAGGGAGGCTTTTCTTGCTACATACTGAATGGAGCTCTCGTGAGGGCCTAGGGTAGCTCTGAGCCTGGCATCGTGGTGAAAAGGGGCCTTTAAGCTGCAAGGCTCATTCATCTCTGTGCAGCCTCCTTCTCCCCAGCCACAGATGCACCCATGGTCAAAGGGAGGGTGGTGCCTGCCCGTGGGGTTACAGCAGGGCATTCTCTGTTTCATATCTGACTACTGTATTCCTTGATTACCCATGTAGATGGATGTTAAAGAAATCCTTAATCATCCTATTATCATGCCTATCTTGGCAGTATTATTTAACTGGAGTGATCCCTCTCTTTTTCCCCTAATTCCACTACCACTTCTCTGGTCTGGGCTCCCATCACCTAATAACATCAACCCCTCCCTCCCTCAGACCTCCCTCCTTTCCTCCTTTCCTCCTTCCCTCCTTCCCTTTCTGTCTGCCTGCCTGCCTACACTGTTCTCTCGGGTCTGCCATATGCCAAGCAAGGCGTTGAGGACTGGAGATAAAGCAGTGGATAAGATCCCACTAGGGTAGAGTCAAGTAAAGACACACATGCTAATCTAATCATAACTGGGAGAAGGACTGCAAAGGAGAAATACTGGGAGCTGCTAGTTGGGCTTAACCTGTCTTTTGGGAGGTCAGCACACAGCAACAACATCGTAACAGCTTCCTAATTCTTGTTGCATCATAGATGGGCTCATGGTATTTTAGAAATGTTTCCGTTTTTAGTGCTTGGTGGAGAGCTGGTGCAAGGCAGAAGTTCGGCATGCTCCCAAAGGTGACTGCATACCTGTGAGGCTGACTGTGGTTGACCCTGTGCTAGTCACGGGGTAGACATGGGTTGCTGGTAACAAGGACAGGTTTTTCTCCAGGTGACTCTATGCCTTTATGATCCAGAAGGGTGGTTGAGCTGCCTTTCCTCTAGGAAAGCATGGCACAGGTGAGAGTTGAGGTCACATGAGGACCAACGTGGAAGGGAACTAAGCAGGCTTTCTGAGCCAGCAGCAACCGGTTGGTGGGCTTCCTCGCTACCTGTGGATCCCCCTGTCCCTTAAGTAGGCCCCCCTCCCCTGACCTTAGAGCCAAGGCGATTAAATTACCAACCAGCTTGTTGATGAGCAAAGATGAATCCACTGGCAAACATATTTTCCTTATTAGATTCCTATTGTCATTTAATGCCTTTGTCTTCATGTGTTTCTTTTGAGTAATTGCTCTGTGCGTTGGCCCTGGCAGTTCTCTACAGTTTGGATTTGCAGACAACATTGGCACTGAGCTTTTGGAACCGACTGGGCCTGGCCGGGAGACTAGCTGTCACTCCCTTTGTTTCACCCTGATTTTTCTCTAGAAGAGTCCTTTTGTCACACGCTGTGCTATTGAAGGTGCTTTGGGCAAAATGAAGGATGTCACGTTGGAGGATTTGGCTTCTGAGCAATTGCATAAACACTGCAGGAGCTGGAGTCTTAAAAGCCAAGGTTTGAGGCAGAGCTGGCCTTGAGGTTGGCCACGAAATAATTTTTTTTTTTTGCCACTGCTGCGGCAGCTGTGCGGTGGAGCCGAGCGGTACCAATGTCACCTAACCATGTTTAATCATCAATACCCTGTAAACTGAAGTCACCTTTTTTTGTTTTTTTAAAGGATCAGAATTCCTAGAGTCAATGAATCTGGCCATGTTAAGCAGCCTTTGCTTTATGAAAAAAAAATCCACCATCTCAAACCCCAGGCCGTTAAAACCTGATGTTTTCTGTTGCCAGGAGAAGGGCGTTTTTGCTATAAATGAAAGACATGACAGGGGGTATTTCGAAGCTTTGTTTTGGTTATTGTCAGTTCTGCCAACAAGTAACATCTGTATTTATTTTCCAAACTCCTCCAATGGCTGATTTGCATCTGTTTAGTTCTCTGAGTAACATTTCATTTCCTGACTTTATAGGTTGCTATAAAATCCATTCGTAAGGACAAAATTAAGGATGAACAAGACATGGTTCACATCAGACGAGAGATTGAGATCATGTCATCCCTCAACCATCCTCATATCATCAGTATTTATGAAGGTCAGTGATTTTTCTTTTCACTCCTATATCAGTTACCATTTCTCATACCATGGGGCCTGCCAAGACTTTTGGGTAATTGCCTTTCTGGACAGGAGCCAAGTATTTTTCCTCACGATGGAAAAATAGTCAGGTGTTATCTCTTATTTGGTACCTTGAACGCAACCAGACACATGAATGCAGCTCATTTTGGTCATAAAATATCTCTGGCGGATGCCTTATTCTGTCTTCCCAAGTCCTTGGCGGTTGCTAAGCAACCCATCTTATTGAAAGCCAGTCTGTGAGACAGCCGTGGTTTCTGAAAAAGGGCCGTTTGCTGGGTGACCAAGTAACAGTGGGTACGTTGTAAATGTCCTTCCCCAAAGCCAGTTGCTTTGGTGGTGGTGTGAGGAGTTCTTCAAAGCTAGGCTCTTGGAGTTAGGAATGAACTCTGAGCAGGGCCAGGAAGCACCAAGAACGAGGGTTGCTGCAGCAGATGCTTTGCAAATGGAGTCTGAATTGTGTTGGTGTTTGTAAAAGGACAGGGTGGGGAAAAGCTTATAAAAATGTTCAGGCTTCAGTTCAACCCTTTCGTTCTTCCTGGGAGGAAATGGAGAGTATAAACCTCCCACAGACTATCATTTTTTTAAAAAAAGATCCCATAAAGAAGTTACATAGCAATACATGTTTATTATAGAAATGATTGAAATAGAAATGTTTAAATTAAAAAATAATTTCTGTTCTGACTTCCAGTTTGATAAATAGCTCTCTATCCATATGTATTAATGTATTTTTATCTATTTCTCTATGTCCAAATGTGGTTTTATCCAATGTTAGATCATACTGTTTATACTTGTTTTTAGCTTGATTTTTTTTTTCTGTTTGTTATATCATACATCTCTTCCTGTGTCAATAAATATTCCCCTGTAAAGACGTTTGAAAAGGCTTTATTGTATTCCATTTATGGACATACCATAATTTATTGAATCTAATTGCTTTTGCCAAACATTTAAGTTGTTCCAAATTTCTGGTTATTATAAACAGGGCTTTGGTGATTCTCCTTGTGTACCATTTTGACATTTATTTCTGATTATTTTGTTATGAAAAATTCTTAGTTTTGGACTTACTAAGTCAAAGTGTTTCCCCAAAATATTTTAAAATATATGGTTGAGTCAGAAGAATGGACCTACTTTTACTTTTTGGTCTGATTGTGAGATGTTATCAGGAGACCAGATGGTGACCCTAAAATCTCTCTGGTAGTTTTACTTTTCCCTCATCTGGTTCCCTGATCTTTTTTGCCATTCTTTTTTCTGCTGCTTCTATTTTTGCTTCTTATCTAGAAGTAAATGTTGGTAATGTCTTATCTTTTATCCTGATCATTTTAAAGCTCATTTTTGGAGCCCTTGGGGATAGGATTTTTAAGGGAAATCTTTATCCATGTAATCATTTATTCATTCCACAAACATCTCTTGCAGTAATTCTCAAAGTGCAGTCCCTAGGCCAGCAGCAACAGCCTCACTTGAGATTATTAGAGATACACTTTCTCAAGCTTCACTCAGGACCTGCTGAATCAGAAACTCTGGGGGTAGGACCCAGCAATCTGAGTTTTAACAAGTTTGAGAACATTGGTCTACTGTCTACTTGTTAAGCACTCAATTCAATGAAGTTGGAGATCTAAAGCCGAATATTATATGGATCCCATACTCAAGAAGCAATACAAGGCAGTATGGAAAAAGTATTTTGTAGACCTGTAAGCAACATATTCTGGGACCATGGAGGCCTGGGGGTTAGAAGTTTTCATGACGATGTATGGCTTCTTGGCTGGGCTTTGAAGGAATTTTTTTGGGGGGTAAGAATCAGCAAAAGTAGAATTCCATGCTGATAAAAACAAAATCTGCATATGCCTGGTGAATGAGGGGAATTTCTAGAAGTTAGAAGTGAGTAGAGATACAAAGTGCAGGTGAAAGTGAGTTTTATTAAATTCTTAGGTTTTTTGTTCCATGTGGCCTGGTTACCATAGAAACCTGAAGGCCACGTGAAGGATGACTTGTAGGTGTGGACCCACGTGGGTCTCATGCTCTGTTGTGTTTTGGGTTCCTTGGCTTAGAGCAGGAGCCTTGTTTCTTCATCAGGAAGGCGGAAGGAGTTTATTCCCAGCATGAAGTTTCCGGGTTCTTTATCTGGGAGGCAGTTTGTGGTAGCTGGAGTCTGGTGTGGAGAAACCTGACTTCTTCACCAGCACCACGCCCTCTTGGCCTTGGGGATCATATGGGATGAATGGGGAAGAGGAAACTGTCTCCTGTCAAAGGCAAGGTCAGAGATGAACCTTAATGGAAGAACATTTTATTATCAAGGTTTAGTTGGCCTCAGTGCAGACCCTGCTGGAGGCTTCAAGAAGAGAAGCTTTTGCTTATCACTTTAGAGATGGGTATGGGTGTGAATTAAAGTTCTTTTGGTGATTAGGAATTTCTATCAAGGCCTCAGGAGGGAGGTTGGGCCTCAATTCATAAAACCCTTAGAGCAGGTTTTAGGGAGTCAGGAAAGAGCTTGAGTTCAGACCCAAATCCTTCACTGTGGCCTGGACATGAGACTGTGGGCAAGATGGCGGACCTCTCAGTGCTGCAGTAACTGCTCCTGTAAGTGGGGATGACCATTCTACCCCTCTCATAGGGTTGTCAGTAGGATTAAATGACATGGTACACGCACCTGGTAAGCTCAGAAAAGATAATTATTATGAGGACACTACAATCATCACAAGTAGTTCTTATAAGGGCATTTCATGGGGGAGCTGCAGGGCCTATGAATCCCCTGGAACAGTCTAAAACTGTACCATTCAATACAGAAGCCACTAGCCCCAGGTGGATATTTAAACTAAAATTAATTAAAATTAAAAAAATTAAAAATTGAGTTCCTCAGTCACATGAAGCACATTTCAAGTGTTCAGTAGCCACATGAGGCCAGTGGCTACCATATTGGACAGTGTAGATACAGAACATTTTCATCCATGTAGAAAGTTCTGCTGGACAGTGCTGTTGTATAATGTTTTGTGTGTTATGTGCATGGGTGACATTTTTCTGAAGAGAGGGTGTGTCGCTTTCATCAGACCCTCAAAGGCATTCTTGACCTCACATAGGTTAAAGAGAACCCACTGCCTTGAAGGGTTTTGTGACCTGCAGAGTACCATACAAAGAAAAGCTATTGTTTTTATCCAGAAAACTCCCAGGGACTTAAATGTGGCCTTCATTTCTTTTAATTTCTTAGAGCTCTCTGGTTTCTGTTCTTTTCCCTTTCCCTTCTCCCACGCAAGTTCTGTTTCTCCCACATCCACTAAATAACTGTGGAGGAGGGCAGCTCCCCTCCCTTTCCCGGGGGTTAGCGGGAGAGTGCAAAGGCTCTTTTCCAGCTCTTACACCTCGAACTGACACCCCACAATCCCCGGGTCTCAGCAGGACCCTGAGACCCAGCTCTGAGAGTAAAGTTAGAAATGTCATCTGTAGAACTCTATAGTTTACCAAGGTCTCCACATCTAGTCTCATTTGATCCCCACAGCAAACGAGTGAGGTGGGCAGGCCAGGTGATCCCATTTTGCGGTTGTGGAGACTGAGGCTCTGGAGAATTATTGATTTGCTGGGCATATTAGTTTGCTGGGGCTACCATTACAAAGTACCACAGAATGGTGGCTTAAACAATAGAAATGTATTTTCTCACAGTTCTGGAGGCTGGAAGTGTGAGATCAAGGTGATCTCGCTGGATTGGTTTCTTCTGAGGGCTGTGAGGGAAGGATGTGTTCCAGGCTTCTCTCCTTGGCCTATAGATGGCCGTCTTCTTGCTGTTTCTTTGTATCATCTTCCCACTGTATGTGTCTGTGTCCAGATTTCTTCTTCTCTGAAGGACACCAGTCATATTGGATTGGGGCCCACACTAATGACCTCATTTTAACTCAATTGTCTCTGTAAAGACCCTGTCTCCAAATAGGGTCACGTTCTGAGGCACCTAGAATTAGGACTTCAACACGTGAGTGTTTTGTTTTTTTGGTGGGGACACAATTTAGCTCATCACACCAGGTGTCACAGCTAGTTGGTGGCCCTGACACACAGGTCTCCTGACTCCATTTGTCTTTTTCCCTCTGCCAGGCCTCAGCCCAGTATTTCGGATCTTGTGCCTTGTTTCGCTGGCTCTGTAGCCCACCTCGGCCTGTCCTTTTCTGTCCTAACCTTGCCTGCCCCTGCTGCAGCCCTGGGGTGTGGGGCGGGGGAGGGGGACAAGGATGGTGGCAGCAGTGGTGGTGGGGACCCAAGTCTGGCAGTCCAGAGAGGGGACCCTTCTCTCCGGAAGCTGATTGGTTGAAGGCCGTCAAGAGCCTTAGCTCAGTGCTGAATTGCATTAGTTTGTTTAGTGAGAAATCAATGCCGTGGTAGCGTAAGTGGCTGTTTGGACACTAGCCAAGTGAATAGAAGCTATTTAAGAACTTTACAATTTCTTCTTCAACGAAGACCTTTATGGCTAAAAAACAAACATGCAGCAGCCGCAACAGCGGCAATATGACAAAGCAATGGTGTGCCTGACTCTGTGTTTAGGAACTTCGGATATTCATGAGGGGGAGGCGTCATCTTGGACTGTACTAACTGTTGATATTGAAATACTAGTTCCAGAGAAAAAGTAATTCATCTGTTAAAAAAAATACTAATTAAGTGCCTACTATGTGCCAGGCCCTATTCTAGCACTGGGAACATAGCGGCACATGAAACAAGCTCCTGTCTCTCTTGGAGCTGACATTCCAGGAGAGGGAAGGCCTTTCGGACTGAGTTTTCAGCTGAATGATTTTTGAGTCAGTGATTTTTGAGCTGAGACCTGAATGAAACAGAGACTAAGCCCTTCAATGACCTGGGCATTCCAGGCAAAAGGAACAGCATGTGCAGATGCTCAGAGGAGGGAGGAGTATGCGTGTGTAGAACTGACAGGACCTGTGAGGCTGAGGCAGGAGTGAGGAGGGTGGTAGGAGAGGGCCAGATGTGGATCATGTT